CACCGAAAACTATGAAGCGCACTATCTGGACCTCGTCATCGGCAACCTGGGATACCTAGACATCGAATTCAAGCTTGATTCATAAGAATCGACTTAAAAATTCCCTAGCTGCACTTTCTGCCAAGCGTAGAGAACCTTCTTTTCCGTTGACTTAATATATATTAACAGAGAGAAACCTGAGAGCGGCCACCGGGATCATTCCGTTCCAGCGGACGTATACTGACGCGCCGCCTGAGAAAGTGGACGTCAACTACGTCGTTACGCTCGGTACACATGGTTCGTGTCCGTACTATGGTTCGTGTCCGAACTACTCAGATGGAGGGGATATGCCAGACGGCTGACTCGGTGACCGTGCTCGGCACTCGGCAAACTTCGAGCGGGGAGAGAAGGGCAGACATACGATCTGCTGTCTCCTTCTCGCTTGAGCTGTGACGTAGCTGCTTAGCACGCGCCGGCTATGCCACGATGCCATGCATTTCGGGTATCGCTCCTCGCGTCTCGCCGAATGCCGAGTCTCGCGTTGGCAAATCGACGATGCGCTATACGTTACATTTACGTGTATATTTACAAATTTTAATTTTTATATTTATAAATAAATAAATATATATATATATATATATATATATATATATATATTTAAAATTTATAAATATAAAGATTGCAATTATAATTAATTAAAAAAATATTTATAAACATAAAAACTAAAATTCGTAAATGTAATGTATAGACATCCCCGTTCTGGCAAATTTGCTCTTATATCAAAAAAAGTCACATTAAAAACCTTTACTTTAGCATAATAGTATTTAAATTTAATATTTAAATGCATAACAATAATTACATATTAACTATATCGAGAAAAAAAGTAGTTCATAATGTTCTTTTTACTCTTACTAGACACTACAGACGCGCGCGCTTCGCGCGCGCCATTTAGCTTTAACATTATGCTATTATATAATAATCGCGACACGACGCGGGACGATTAACCTCGCGACACGACGCGAGCTGTCACATCACGACACACACGACGCACTACACGCACGAAACTCGCCACACTCCGCGATGACAGTCCCTCACGGGATGAAGCAAGCTACGGCGCGGCAATCAATCGAGATAGCCAATCGGCATCGCGGAAAAGAGGCTTCAATTTTACGATACAAACGAAATTCACTCAGATAACACGCCTTTTTTAAAAGTGGATTAAATTTATATTAGCTATTAATAATGTTTATAAGCGGCCACGAGCAACAACAGAGAGATATTGAATTAAAATAAAAACAATTTCTTAAATAAACAATACACATGCTTAACGTTTCGACTGTACTTAGTCTTCTTCGGAACGGATTACTACGATAGAAGAAGATAAATATAAAAAAACATAATAATTAATGTTCAAGTTTACATACTAAAACATTAAACATTAGTCTAGACTAAAACATTAAACAATCATCTAATAATATAAACAAAGTAAACAATAATCTAATTAAATCACAAATATAAAAACGCCGGAATAATCGAATAAAACCATAACAAGATAAATTTATATTTATATTGAGAAGTGGTAAAATCTCTTCTGTCAGGAAGAGAATGTAAAGAATTATTAACGGAGGTATTCTGATTTAAAAGATTTTTAAAATATATATTTTTCAGGAATTTTTTATAGGGAAACGAAGAAAGTGAATAACGTCAAATTTTGCATGTTGTCTTCACCTTATTTTAAAAATTTGTTTTTATTTTTTAAGTAACAAAAATGCTCTTCTTTTCTGTTATATCCTGGTCACCATAAATGACAGACGGTGTAAATAATTTTAGCTGTTCTAGGTATCTGAAACGCAAAAAGCTAAAATTTTCTTATTCAGAAGAAGTATATGTGGCTATAGTCTGAACTAGAACTAAACCAATATTTCCATTCTAGGTTCTAGGCGGCTTTTTTATCAAAAATATTATTAATCAATATTAAATAAACCATTTACGATCTGAGCTTAGATTTTATAGTAGCCTAATAATTTTTTTTATATACTATATTTACATATTTTTCCAACTTTAATCAACTATAATACGCGCCGATTAACTTGTCAGACTTACAACACAGCTCCTATTGGATTAATAAGATCCCCTCACACCCCTCTAATTAAATCGATTTAAATAATAGTAAAGAATTTACTACTCCAACAGGAGCTGTGTTGTAAGTCTGACAAGTTAGTCAGCGCGCAATTTATTAAGATTGGAAAAAATATACGTGTAATTATACATAAAAAACATTATTAGGCTATTAAGATACAAGCTCGGATCATACACGGCTTATTTAATATTGATTGATTGTATAACGGTCACACATAAAACGGTTTTATTTCTCTTATATTATTAAAAATCAGAATAATAAATTTATTTCGCCAGTAAATAGAATAACAGTTAAAGCAGCTTAAATCGACAGGTATCAGAAACGTAAAAACCAAAAATTTTCTTATTCAGAATAAGTGATATGGGTTATCGTCTGAACTAGAATAAACATTTTCTTTTAATAAAATACTAATAAAATTTTGAAAAAAGTTATAATATTTTAAATAAAAAAGCCGCTCAGAATGGAAATATTGATTTAGTTCTAGTTCAGACGATAGCCACACTTCTCCTGCAGAATAAGAAAATTTTAGCTTTTTGCGTTTCAGATACCTAAAACAGCTAGAATTATTTACATCGTCTGTCATTTATAGTGACCAGGATATAACAGAAAAAAGAGCATTTTTGTTACTTAAAAAATAAAAATAAATTTTTAAAATAAAGTGAAGAAAACATGCAAAGTTTAACGTTATTCACTTTCTTCGTTTCCCTATAAAACATTCCTGAAAAATATATATTTTAATGATCTTTTAAATTAAAATATCTCCGTTAATAATTCTTTATACATTCTCTTCCTAACGTGTGTGTGAAGCTATCGTCTCATTTTGCAGAAACTCACAAATTATTGAGAGTTCTGGCTTCTTTCAAAAAACGCGTCAGTACAAACTGAGACGCTATGTTCACGCAGCGTCTCATTTTGTCCTACATAAGTTCCACCACTGTATCTCATCAGATTTTGCAAGATCTATAGTTCTATAACAGTTCTATAAAGAGTTTATCTCATCAGATTTTGCAAGATCTATAGTTCTATAACAGTTCTATAAAGAGTTCTGCCATATAAAAGCAAAAAAATTAATTATAAGGTACTAAAAAGAATTACAATGCATCGAGTAATACCGGTTGAGACGCCAGTTGAAATCTCGGAGTTCCGGTTTATGTAAAATATTTTTCGAGTAGTTTTGAGCATATTGAAACATTTTCTAAAGAGTTCCGAGCGTTAGAATCTTTGTGTTATATTAAAAAAAATTAATATTAACCGAAAAGTAATCATGACAGAAGAAGATGAGACGCTGTGCGAAATCTCGGAGTTTTGGCTTATATAAAATATTTTTCGTATAGTTCTGAGCATACTAAAGCATTTTTTAAAGAGTTCCCGCCACTAGCTACGTTGTATATATATGTTTATTAACTTTAGCAAACACTACGTTGTATAATTTTTAAATAAATTAATACCGCTCGGAAATCAGGAATTTATCGAAAATAAGGTGAGACGCTGGCCGTATTTCGGCAGTTCTGTGAGTTTTGCTATAATTCTCGTGTAGTTCTAAACGTATTCTAATGTTGTCCTATTTTATTCTGGCAATAAGCATTATTTATTTATTTTTTAAATAATTCTTATCGCTCGAGAAAGACCCTATTCTCGATAAATTCTTGACTTTCGTGCGTTATTAATTTATTTAAAAATTATACAACATTGCCAATGCCCGGAACTCTTTAGAAATTGTTTTAGTATGCTTAGAACTGTACGAAAAATATTTTATATAAGCCAGAACTCCGAGATTTTCTACAGCGTCTCACCCACATACCCGTAAATGCGTCTTTTTTGGGCAATAAAAATTATTTAAAATATGAATAAATAATGCTTATCGTCAGAACTCTTTAGAAATAAACGTTAGAACACGTTCAGAACTATACGAGAATTATAATAGAACTCACTGTTACCCATGTGTATTGTTTATTTAAGAAAGTGTTTTTATTTTTATCCAATTATCCTTCTGTTGTTGCTCGTAATTTGGCCGCTTGAACATGCATAGGTAAAATAAATTTAATAAGAGTGCAAGAAACATTATAAACTACCATTTTTTTCTCAATATAGTTAATAATATAATTATTGGTATGCATTTAAATATTAAATTTAAAATTTATTATGCAAAGTAAAGGTTTTTAATGTAAGACTTTTTTAGATAGAAAAGCATAGAACGGTTTCTATACATTACATTTACGAATTTTAGTTTTTATGTTTATAAATATTTATTTAATTAATTTTATTTGCAATCTTTATATATTTATAAATTTCAAATATATATACATATATATATATATATATTTATTTATTTCAAATATATATACATATATATATATTTATTTATTTATTTATTTAATTATAAATATAAAAATTAAAATTTGTATACAAGCAAATGTAACGTATATAGCGGGTATAGCGTATCGTCGATTTGTCAACTCGAGACTCGGCACTCGGCGAGACACGAGACGCGATACCCAAAATGCGTGGCATCGTGGTATAGCCGGCAAGCCGGCCCGTGCAAAGCGGCAACGTCACAGCTCAAGAGAGACAGCAGATCGTATGTCTGCCCTTCTCTCCCCGCTCGAAGCTTGCCGAGGGCCTAGCGTACACGGACAGAGGAAAGGCTTGAGCGACCAGCATATCCCCTCCATCTGAGTAGTTCGGACACGAACCATAGCCTGGATACGAACCCATGTATCGTTACCCGAGTCCTCTCTGATCGTTACCGAGCGTAACGCCGTAGTTGACGTCCACTTTCTCAGAGGGCAGATTAGGACAGACGTCCCCCGAAGCCGGATGGCCGCTCTCAGGTTTCTCTCTGTATATATATATAGCCTCCACGAGCTTTCCTGGAGGCTATCTAGCTTCCATAGCTGTGCAAATTTTTGTCATTCTATTAAGAAGTTTCAAGAGTGTTTCACCTGAAATATCCTTCCAAACCGTTTGTAGGGCCTTCTGTAGAGAAACTTCTTTTTTTTATTAACTCTTTTATGCGTCAGTTTAGTTTATTCCGTAATAATTCAATCAATGGAACTCAAATTCGATGGTTAAGGGAACTATATCATATTGCGAAGATTTTTGAGTTTCTCCTATTTTTTCTCAATTTAGAAACTTGTTTAAAGCAATGTTATAATCATTTATTTTGTCAGTTAATCTCAACTTTTTGCATTTACTCCCGGTGCGTCCAAATTTTTCGCCGGTACTGTTTAGATATTTCGACAAAACCGTACGTTCTTCCGTACGTTATTTTTGCGATTGCCCATAAATCTACGGACGTTTAAAGATTACTTGAGAAAAGAGAATTTCTTGCAGATGCTGGATGCCGATGTTTTTTTGACAAATCCGAGCACCATTCGCAATTTGGTACATAAGGGACATACCGTCGTTGCGCCTTTACTAAGATCGGACGGCATGTACAGCAATTTTTGGGCCGGAATGACGGCGGAGCATTATTACTTGCGGACGGAGCTCTACGAGCCGATTCTATTTCGCGAGAAAATTGGATGTCACGATGTGCCCATGATCCACAGCGCAGTTTTTATAGATCTGAGAAGACGTTACTCCGATCGTCTTACTTATAAGGCTGAAAAACTGACCGGTTACGACGGACCGGTGGATGATATCATAACTTTTGCCATAGGAGCAAATAAATCAGGTAAGGACTTTAAGTAAAAAAGCCTGTATAAGTTGTCACATTTAAAATTATGAATTACGAATAATAGCGTGAGATTAGTACCGATCAAGTAGGGCGGCGGTGTGGTCTAGATGGTAGAGCGCCAGGCTCGTAATCTGAGGAACCAGGTTCGAGTCTACTAGAGCCATGAATCATGGAAAAGTTTTTTTCCGAAAAAAAAACCGCGCCCTTCCGTGCAAGATGCGGAGGAAACTGTGCTCCGTCTTTCGGAAGAGACGAAGAGACATTAAACCGTTGGTCCAAAGGAGGAAACAGTAAGAAAGTGGATGAATTGGAGGTTAGGGTTGGGTACGTCCCTTCAAAACGCCCTTTAAGCCCCCTTGGGGTGTATAAAGTAAAATTTTTTATCCTTTTTAGTACCGATCAAGTGCCGATTCTTTAAAATTATTGGTATTTATGCATAAAAGGGGCCTCCTCTCCGATTTCAATGACCTTGACATATGTTGTCACCCTCCTGAGTGACCTTCAGAAGGCTTTAGCCGGCGTCATTGTTCATTAAAGTCATTAAAGTTCCACATAATCGCCCTCCCCACCCCGGGGGAGGGGGTATCCGTGTGGATTTCACCCGTTATTAAAAAAAAGAAAAAAAGGTCATTGAAATCAGAGAGGAGGCCCTTTTCAAGCATGAATACCAAATTATTGACCTCTGCCCTCGCACTTTGACTTAATTTGTAATTCTGTGAAAAAAGTAGATTTAATTTTGACTGTAAAAAGCTTACATCTCCTAACTTCGTTATAAACACGCACAGATCGTTGCTCCGCGATATTTTTTATTATTTGATAATCTTTTTGCATATTAATTAATAACAAGAGTAGCGGATTACAGTCGTCACACACATCAGCAAGACCGGTCCCCGTCACCACCGACTTTGTACATCTTCATAACTTATGATTATTTCTGTTAAAATTTTCATAAACACCAGATGTTCAAGTTGGGAGTTACAATACTTTTTTATTATCAGATTACTTATAATAAGGACCCAAATCGAAAGTCGAAATGTCATAAAGTCGTTGTTATTGCATTCGTTTGCTAATTGTTGTCGAAATTAATATTTTTTGTAAAGCTTCCCAAACAGCCAAGTCTGTCGAAAGCAGATCTTGCCAAGTATCTACTACTGTCGGCAGATAGACTACAGATTTGATCTCGGTTCTGATATAATCACATGATGTCAGCAGAACGTCAACAGAACTATAACTTTGCTCTATCACGTCACAATCGGAGAAGTCGCAACTTTGACGCAATAGATTCTACGTTAATCATCAATATTTTTTTAACCATAAGCGACACAAAAAATTCCTTTTAAGGGTTGAAAGTTCTAACAACATACTTAATTTTGATTGCGATTAAACTTCTCCGATACGTCACATATCGTAGTTATAATATGCCAAAATACACTAAAATAGCTCATTTTTGCAATTTTAACTGCAAATATCTCAAAATTGTGACGTAATAGAGCAATTTGGCAAACGGGATCATTTTCTGCGTCTAAAAAACTATCGAATGCCGCAAGGTTCGTTCTTGTGCCCGAAAAAAGTGATTTTTTGTTGTACAGTGTAATAGAATCTGCTAACATAATCAAACAGCAGATTGGCGGCAGAAATCGAGCAGATCCTGTTGAAACCGTTTAGGCTCTAGAGCCCTATTCTCGAATCGTTTTCATGAAACTTGCATGCGAAATTCAATGTTTTTCAAATAGAAAATTGCATACGAAAATCATTAGGGCAGGCTCAAGAATACGGTCCCTGTGAGGTTTTTGCTATCAATTTGCTCACATTGCCTGTCAGGAGGCTTTGTCTGCGCGGTTTCTGCTGCTAATCTGCTGTCTGATTATGTCAGCAGACTTTGCTGGCGGAACATAAGCTGAATGCGGATGCAGTTAATGTCAATCTGCTGACATGTCTGATTAAATCTGTTATCAATCTACCAACAGACTGCTATCAAGTTGCTTACTGGATTTTACTCTAAACATATACAGAATATTGTGTTTGTGTTGTAGATGTGCCATTGTTCGTGTGTAATGACGACGTCTACGGTTTTGTCATGGTGCCTTTAGAGAATGATGAGACTATCGCAGAAGATATGCAACGGTTGACTAATACTAAGGTGGAAATGTTGTGTAAGTTTGCTTTTGTGAGACAAGAGCATAATATAAATAAATAAAATAAATAAATGATAAACGAGCAGAACAAAATATAAATAAATGGAAATCGATCTTATTTTTCGTAATAAATACCACATTTTATTTGTATTTTCCGTTTGTGTACATAATATCCAATCAGATATACAATATTGTCGCGTTGACGATGTTGATTGATGTAGCACAATTGCGTTTTATACAGCATTTAGCGACTATTTGCCGTTGTCAGATGATTTGAAGGAATTCGTGATGTATCCAGAGAAGGATACCCTAGGTCTGGATCACATCTACATGATAAATCTGTTAAGGAGACCGAAGAGACGTAAAAGGATGCAGAGGCTTTTCGAGGAACTTGGCATTCGAGCAGAAATTATTGACGCCGTGGACGGTAGGTAAGTTATACGCGACGATAAATAAATATATTTATTTCTTATAAACGTAGAAATCCGAGATTCATGTCAATGCCAATGCCTCAAGTTACATATAAATAGAGATTCTTTTAAAAACTATAAATTGAAGACAACTTTACGATACAATATGTTCTCTCTTTTTTGTATTTGTCTACTTAAAGGTTTTCTACTGATAAATTTGGAATATAAATGAAATGCGGATGTTGTCACGTAGCATGCAATTAAGAAAGAAATGCCACGTCACGAGATACAATTATCCATAAAACGTTTATAATATAATAATATATACAATTTTATATTAAGGTATTGATATATACCTATAAAAATTTATTTGATTTTGAACGATAAACGAACATGCTAGCATGATTAAGAAGAGATATTATCTCTAAGTCGTGCCTATATATAAAGTCACCGTAACGAAGTAATTTCTACCGTGGAATGTACACCCCTTATAGAAATTTAATACTGTAAGTGATTTTTTGGCTAGTAATTAATCACTTAAAAGCACTATTAAAAGCACTGTTAATAGTGCTTTTAATAGTGCTTTTAAGTGATTAATCACTAACCAAAAAATTACTTACAGTATTAAATTTCTACGTATAATTCTTGCAGAAATTTGCACAAAGAGGAAAAATAAAGCTACATATATGAAGTGGAGTACAGCTACGTTATAACTATTTAAAGGAAAAGAGGGAAGGAGGAGAGGGAGAGGGGCGAGAGAGAGAGAGAGAGAGAGAGAGAGAGAGAGAGAGAGAGAGAGAG